GTCTGTGTAAGTCCAGCTTCAGTAAAACATCATCAGCTCCACAGATGTGACCCGTCTGCAGCCAAACGTTCCTCTTTGTCTTTGTCACCGGACCGTTCTCATCAGAACCTTAAAACGGACCTTTCATGTCCTGCTGACGGCGAGGAAGACGAGCCTCAGAGGACACTCGGTTAATTGATGGAGATGGCCTCGTCTTCAGGATGAGACAAACTCATCAGCTCGCTGGAGGCCGCAGGTCAGGAGCCAAAGGTCGGGTCCAACCGGTCCGGACCTTCATGGGACGTAAAGTCTCGTAGAGAAAAACAGACACGAACAAACTGGAGGAGTCTGAGAGGAAGAAGATTCAAACTTCAGACAAATGACGGTTTCCTCCAGCGGTTCCTTTCTGAGACTCTGAATAAAATCTGATCACGAGATATTTTGCTAACAGACTAACAAACACACTCAGGTAAAAACATGAAACTAGGGAAATTACATTTCCTACAAAAATGCAGTGTGAATGCTTATTGCTGAAGCACTTGCTGAAAAACAGCTGAAATGAGCTAAAAACATGCTGAAATGTAGCTGTGAAAGAACAAGCCCAAGTTTGCTGAATGAAGCAGAAATTAGCTGAAAAAAGCTGAAATTAGCACAAAAAACAGCTGAAAAGTAGCTTAAAAAGCTGAAAGAAGCTTAAGTTACCAGAAGGAAGTGGGGAGAGCACAATTTTGCTGAATTAGGCTGAAAGAAATTTGAGTAGAAAAATGGGGAATTATTTAACGAGCTAAAATTAGCACAAAACAGCTAAGTAGTAGCATAAATAATGGAAACTAGCATAAATAAGCTGAAAGTGTCATAACAAGATGAATTTAGCAGAAATACGTTAATTAAGCTGAAAGTAAAAGAGATTATCATGATAACTTTAATTTATCTGAAAATAGCTAAAATTAGCTAAAAAGCAGCTGAAAATTTAGAACAAGCTTAAATCAGCAGAAGAAAGCAGAAAGAACATGCTTGCTCTATTAGGCCAAAAGAA